GCCTTGTTAGACATGCAAATTACATGTTTTTCAGTCACAAATTAGACACCTGTTTGTTTATTTTTAGCCTGCCTGGTTTAACTGTAATTTACCTGCATTGCTTCAGTTCACACATACATTCACTGAGTGTTGTATTCAGAGATTTTGGTGATGATTTTCCACTGTGGTTTTATCGATGATCAGATGATCTCATTTAGCATATGATTGTGCTGCCCCCTGTGGACGTCTCACGGTACTACAACAAACTCACTTCTGATCTCTTAATTGTGCCCCAGCTCTGACAGGCATGACAGGGTTGACTTTTCTTTGATTGTTCTGTGCAGGTTTGCGAGTCCGGCGTTTCCCACCGTCTTAATTGCTGTTGCAGCTGAGACTCAACCAATATATAATAGCCGGGATGCCCTGCAGGGAAACAAAAAACATTGTTTATTCTAAAGAGAAGAATCCAATTAGCAGATATAAAGCGTGGCTAGGCTGAACGATAGCCTCCGGCAAAATGTAATTAGGACAAAGTTTACTGAGGCTTCATAGTATCATATCTGTATCCTCTTTATTGGCAGCTTTTCTTGTTTTTTTTTTCCTTCCGTTGTGAAGGATTTAGGTTGACTTCATACCCATACCCACATCTTGAACTGTCTTTATCTGTCTGTGTCTGCAGCTAAACACGCATCCCAGATGGAGACAGCCACGGATTAGTGAAGATTTTCCTTCATTTAATAAACAATTGAATGACACAGTTCTGAGGATAAACCTGCTCAAAGAAGCGCAAGAATAGTCTGGAGTGAGGAGACTACAGGGCTTTATCCTACTTCATCAAGGAATATCTGTTATCATTCAGAATTGGTTGTGCGCGTCCATCGCTTTGCATTCACATGACGAAAACAGCGTCATCAACCTACAGAAAACCTGATCTGTTCTGATTGTGTCACTGGTGCACAGTGTATATTAGTAAACATTCAGCGCTGTACAGCACGGTATCTAAGGAGAGAGATTTCCAGCATCCATCCGTGTAGACACAATCACAGCCTCATCCCAAACGAGACCTTTTTACCCAGCGCTGTTACATAATTGTTACAGCACATCGGTTTATTGGTTGGCGCGACCGCAAAGACAATAGCTGGTGGAAATGAAATCAGAGCACTAACAGGATTTGGGTGGGAAAAACTATGCTTCAAATCTGGGAAAAAATAAAATTCCTCTGCACTCTGGGCAGCTGTACATTATGAATCAAAAACAAGCTGATATGATGGCGATGAAGATGATAAACAAAATTAATCTCATGCATGGATGTCCAATAGATGAGTATGAAGACATGCTTTTTGATTAGATGGGGGAAGCTTTTTGCATTCATGTCTCATAGTACACATGACAGGGTTTCATGTCTTTTTGTGTGCTGATGAAAGCATGGACTCTGCTGTGGGTAGATGCATCACCTGTAGGTTGATAGTGGATAGTTAAGTGGCTGCTTAGGGCCCCACAGCCAGGAGGCCCCCAAATGCATGCATCGTTTGCTAAATTGACCATTGAATTCTCTTAGTGCCAATTAAAACACATTTCTAGCCAAAATAGAGACAAAACAGTAATGTTACATGCTAACACACAATATACCTTGTGTTCAGAGTGCATGCAGGAATCAAAACCCACCTGGATGAAAACACGAATGCTTTTTGTTTGTTTAGATCACTGGGTAGTAGTGCACTTCAGCCTCTTGTGGCTGAAATGATGATTACAACAGTGAACACATAAACAAAAATCACCTGCCAAAACTGTCTTTCTTCAGGGCTTCCATAGAAAGGTTCATAAAGATACAGTCACATTAGCCAACTCTGCACATATTCACTCGGTCTCTTTTTCACTTTTATTGAAGACCAAAAACTGACAAGTTCAGGAATGTGTTTCTTTTTTCAGCTCAATTTCCCTGCAGGTGCAGGAGTTGCACAATCAGCCAATAGTGACACTGATGTACTGTGTTTCTAACTGTGCCATCACCTTGTTGTGTAACATATTACACAACTAGACCACAGAAAGCAGCATCACTCTGTTTGTATCTATACTGTTAGTGATCCCTCCACAAAAAATGTATTTATTACCTATAGTGGATCCGTAACATCACATCCAGATTTTGTGTCTGAGTGCAGAGCAGTATTGTTGGAGGGAAGACTAATTTGACCGTACTTGCACATGCATTTTTCTGTTCATTTCAAACTCATACCATGTGGAATCCACAAACAGGCTTGGCAGAGATTGCATGACATGAAGCGATCTGCTAATCGTAATTTAGTGAATGCAAATGCTGTTGCAGCGGTGATGAAAATGATGGCAGTGACAGCAGCGTTGCTGGGTGAAGTGACCATGTGTCGCATCATATCCATGTCCAGCTGAGCGCTCACGTGAGGTGAGAGGATTGAGCCTGGGATTCTTTAGGGATTAGTCAGCAGGACTTACCAGATTCAGAGATTCAGAAATTAAGGGACAGCAGCGGCGCAGCTGTGGGGTCACATTGTCCCTGGAGGAATAAGAAAGTCACAGAGTCACAAGTCAAAAACAAGTTCTGTGTCTCTCTTTCTCTCGTGCTTTCTGCCATTTCACACTTTAAATCTCTAACTCACACACATACACACTTTCCTCCTCTTCATCATCACCCCCACCACCCTTCCCCACCCAACCCACCACCACCAATCACCTAATTCTCCTGGCTCTAAACGCATTCAGTCTGGAAAAGAAGGAAGGCGTGCCTGTTTGAACAGATGTGGAGATTTCCGCTGCCTGTCTATGGATCATAACTGTAACAACCTGTCCACCCTGTCTGTCCATTCGAGTGTATCAGGGACACTTTTCACAGCTTCAGTGAAAGGATTTAGTGCCGAGAATACTTTTTTCTTTGCGTGAGTTTTTTAACACCAATCTTCAAGCTGGAGACACAAGTGGACACCGACTGCTGGGATCAGTTGATCCAGGTTCAGCTGTCCGGTTCAGGTGACTGGGCACCCTGTGAGTTGGACATTTTTCTTTGTTTTCTTTAATATCTTGTCTTCCTCTATTTCATCTTTCCTTTTTTACTCATGTCTCCTGTGTGAAATCAATATTAAGCTTTTTCTTGGCAGGCTGTAATTTCTTGACATTTGTGAGCATCTTTATGTACTATAAGGCCAACAAAGGCCTTAATCTCCACATGATTACGTTTTAAAAAAAAATTTTGAATATTTTTTATTTATTTACCAAAAATCTTTAACTTTTTAAGATTAGCTTTTGTTTTTTGTTTCTTTTTCAAATGAAATATTCTTGCCTTGTGTGTTGACTTTTACTCTTGAAATGTAGGTGTTTTGTAAACTGAATGTTACATTCAGACCAGTATAGTGATCTTGCAAAGTAATACTGTAAAACTTGCAAAATGCACTTTTAGATGGCTGTCCTTCAAAATCTGAGAAAAAATAGACATCTTCTTTTTTTCTTGCTCCATCTATCAGAACGTGTGTAAATATTAGTGAAATGTCATTACATGATAAGAGAATTATCAGGCATGGTGGAAGCTAATGAGACTAGCACGTGATTACTGTCCACTGAAAATCATGTAATTCCCATTTAAATTTTCAGATAAACAGCACGATTGCGTGCTCCCTAATTGTTTAAAAAGATTTTCCTATTTCTGCAGCAAAATAAACCAATTCAAAACCCCAAGAGATTATCTGTAACATGTATGGATACAGAGAAACAGGGCTGAGTAGTCAGCTATCTACTTTATAATAGCATCACTCATCTGATTGATAAAAAAAAAAGCAGCTTTACTGTCACTGAAGCACAAGCACACACACGTCAAGAGGAAGTCAAAGCATGTTTGGGACTGACTGGTCCTGACGTTGTTGATTATCAGGGAGCATAACAGATCAGATCAGCTGATGTCACAGTTATGAAATCCAAGTTGATGACAGAATCCACTGGAAATGTTACGTTATGTTGTTGTTTCACTTCCAATTTTCAATTTACTGTTACTGTTCGATTTTTTTATGTTTCATCTGTCTTCTGTGTTTTACATCGGCAAATTCCAACAACAAGGACGTATAGCTCATCCGTTTAGCAGTATCTGATTCTTTCTAAAGAAAACATACACAATTGTCCAAAAACAGAGCTGAAGTAATAGTCGATTAATTGATTAGTCGACTGACAGAAAATTAATCATCACTATCAAAATTAATCAGCAACTATCTTCATAATCAAATAATCGTTATTTTTCAAGCAAAATTACCCCTTTTTGGTGCATCTCTCTGTTTTATATCATTGTAAAGTGAATATATTTGGGTTTCTGACAAAAGGTTGTTTGAAGATGTTACATTTTTCACTATTTTATTACATTTTTTGGAAAAAATGATTAATCGAGAACATGGGATCTGGGCGTGCAAAGACAAAGGATCTCAAATAAAACTGTTTCAGTGTGTAGGATTTAGTGGCATCTAGCTGTGAAGTTACAGATTGCAAC